TCTATGGTATCAGAGATAACCGTTTGGCTGGTCGCCAACCTAGGGCAAGCGTGGGAGTCCTGATGCATGTACGTGACGAGTTCGTTGACTGGGCCTTTATCAGAGTTCACCTGGCTCAGGCACTTCCTCAGCCAAGAGGTAGCAGATAGTCAAATATCTTCAGCTTGGCTCAAAGACTTCCTTGGCTGACTAGGCGGTGGAAAGAGAGGCAAAGATGATCGTTGAACAATGCATTATGGAGGGGCTACAGTGGATCAGGCTAATTTTTGCGTCACCGTGGGCGATGGGGCCATGGAGCGACGCTGCTGTTGCAGAACCGAGTAAACGCAGACAAATGGAGGGCAGTCGGTTGCCATTAAATGATCGGAAATTTCACAAAGGTATGTGAGGAGCCAGGAGATGGCATGTGGCGAATCCAAATGGAGGGAGCAGTAGGCTTTCCAAAGGGAGTTAGGGATGGGTGAGCCATTTACCCTGCGTGAGAAAACTGTGCAAGATCAATGCGGCCACAGAGCGCCATGTGAGCGAGAGGGCGCAGAGAAAAATAGAAAGGTGACGCAATAAGAGGAATTAAGTCCAAGTTGTCCGCAGACCTGGAGACGATCTCGCGCGCGGGATCTGGTCATCTACTCTTGAGCATCACTGAACCCGGGAAAGAACTAGTTCCACCACGCTGCTGCATGGCCTCCGTCAACACCGGAAGTCGTCGCAGGATTAACATCACGCGAATCACCACCCCTGCTGCGAAAATAGTCTCCTCGCGGTGGTATGTGACAAGAGAATCTAATTTCGTCGCGCCAGGCTAAGATGAGTCAAGAAAACGCCGCGCCAAAGCCGCGCGCGGCGGAGCGGCAGATTGCGAGTCTTTTGCCCGTCTCCCTACTTGCCCTGCCAACGCCACTCGACGGATTTTTGTAGTACTGGAGGATGAGAAGGTAAACGAAGTTGAGGAATCGAAAGAGGGCTATGAAAGGTACTGTGCTGGGAAAAAGCTAGGAATAAAGGTTCGTTGGAGCCCAAACCCTGCTGTAACATTCACTCCTTATGCTTGCAAAATAGAAAGGGCCATAAAGCAGCCAATACGCTTCCCTACCACTTCGCAATTTTTCCTTTAAAAATGCAGTTTTTCTTTATATTGTCCCCCGTCGAGAGCGTAAACGCATAAATTGCCATGTGATGTCTGTATACATGTGATTTTTGTGCACTCACGTGTGTACGCGCTGTTGACTGTCACGATGCCAACAGACTTATTTACGATTTTACAGACGTAACATTTGAACTTGTGTTGTTCATAGCAAAAATGACGATAACAATCATGAATTCGATGATGAAATAATGTTATCACAAGGATCATCTCTTGGGTTCCCATCGTCGTTGACGGGACTTGAACCCTTACCTGTGTGCTATCCCAGCACCAAGCTTATCCAGTACACTACCGAGCCCCACACGCCTTCCCTCATTTTTTCAGAAATATATTTACGGAATTTGTTCAAAAAAAGCAGGTTAGCGCGAGCTGTGTAACTAATGGAGTATTTTCTATTTAGTTTACATAAATCAACACCAAATTAGATTTAAACAAGTTAGGTTAGATCTTGGTTCAAATTTCGCGCGAGCGTCACCGCAACGCGAACTTCCAAATCAACCCCCTGTGATTCTATATTAACATATTGAATGAGTCGTTCATGCATAAAACCAATGACAGAGATTCTGGCACTAGCGCAACGTCCATATCTGAGGGCAGCAAAAGGCGTGGCTGCGAGAGCGAAGAGAGCTCAGACGAAAGAGGGGCAGAGACTCTTGTATAAGAGAAGAGAGTCCAGACGAGACCATGTAGTTAGACCCTTTCTGCCTGCCGAGACGGACGATAGTTCGTAGGGGCGTAGGGGCCGCGCTGCTCCGCCTGTGTCCCTACCCCTGCTCAAGGCTCATTCTTGGCAGGCGACCACTGTTTTCGCGCCTAGTCTCGTAGAGTCGATATAGCCGCGCCGCTGCGTGCCCCACGCCCTCCCCCCCCTCCCGAACGCACCGAAGATCCTAGAGCAGAATAAAGCACTTACATTCACTGGTCAAGAGCGAAGCGACAGTAACAAAATGTGGTTGGGGGGGTACCAGACCACATTGGGCGCAAAAACGGCCTATTGTATCTTCCCTCTTGCAAAGTTCTAAGGGCTAAACTAGTTGGTGGGGGGAGAACGACACGACACGCGTAGCCTGCTCGTCTACACCCTCCTGCCAAGAATTTGTGATCCATCTACTTTGAGCTCAGCCTTAGAGATCCCAGGCGAAGCAAGTGCAAAGTGGCAAGCTGGTTTCCCGAGTGGCCTCCCCGACTGCGTTCACCCCGGCATCGACATTTTTTCCGTGGGTGTTACGTTTGAAATTCAAATCGACCATTGTCGCTTTATTTCTGTTGACAGTGACATCTACAATGTTTACATTCTGAAAATAGCCTTTCGCCCGTCTCACCGATTGTGGGTAGTGTCTACATTTTTGGCCATTTTTAGGGTTTTAGTCCTTTCAAAATTTTGGCACTATTCACCCCTTATTAAACCAAGCCAGTTTTTGACCGATTTTTTTTCTCCAGGGGCCGACTTGGATAAAACGTTGGCTACAGGGCAGTTTGTTCCTCTAAACACGAATATCGCATCCGTTGGTCCGAAACTTCCTGGCGCTGCCAAAGTTACCCTAAATCGCAAAATTTGCTAAAAGGTTGTCCCTGTGGGTAGCTCCACCTCCCGAACACGAATATAGCATCAGTGTGAGGTTTCGAGAAAGTTCAAAAATGAAGTAATTAAGGTACACCTGATAGCGCAGCCTGCTTCTGCTCGTCTGCCTCCATCCCGAACAGATTGAGATCCCTCCTTCTATTGAGGCATAGTTTTAGTAAGAGGAAGGATCATTATCACAAGCAACAGCGAGTGCGTGCTCAAAAGGGTCAAATTAATTCTGGAAACAAGTTTTTAGCCAGTTTGGTCACTTAGGGTAGGCGCCACGCCTATGGCGCGGGCACCAAGAAGTTTCGGGCCAAGCGGATGTGATATTCGTGTTCAGGAGGTCAAACTACCTCAGAGTACAAATTTTTTTTTGCCAAATCTGCCTTCGGAGAAAAGTTGGTCAAAACTAGCCTGATTTAGGACGACTGGGGCAGTAAACGGTAAGCAGTGCGAAAATATCTTGGTTACCCCTACCAACCCGTTATCATTATGTATCACCAACAGTTACTTATGAGAAAATAGGCGCTGTTAGGCTTGCAGGGGCATTTTGCACTTTCGCTAGTTCCTCTTGCTAGTACATGTCAAGTGATAGGTTCAACACCTGTAAACTCTTGAGGAGCTGCGAAATGGTACAAGTGAACCATTTTAATTGCAGTAATTAACAGCTCTTCACAACTTGGCTTATAGGGGGGGGGCAAAAAGACACTTTTCTTCCTCGACTTTCGAGGCGATATAAGTTACACTTTACTAAATTCTGATTGGACATTTCCACTATCATATTCTCCGACCACCCTGTTTCGCTCGGACCCGGTAATCGAGGGGGTTTAGGTCAGGTGACACACTTGGATATTCCGTCTTCTTCAGGTCTCAACGCCCTTCCATTCCAAGTAGGCGAGAGTTTTTCCAACGCCCTTCGATTCCATGTGCTGGCACCCAATCCTGTAGCAGTACGAAGTTTCCAAGATGGTACAGGCGACGACATGAAGGCAGGATATTCTCCTCGAGTTGGTCGATGTAACCGCCAGCGCTCACCTTCAGCCCGGGTCCACGAAGAAATATAAACTTCCGGTCCATACCATCAACCCGCGCCTTGGCGACTGTGGTGAAGATGATGTCCTAGACCGTGGCGACGTTGTCGGAGCTGCTCGATGTTGGAGGTCTTCCAGATCGAGAGTGCTGGTCTCCAGGTAGCTGTCCATGGGTGACTCCATACAAGAAGTTTCGCAGCTGTTTGGAGGTGACGTGAATTCCAAGGCCTTCTCCAGTCAGGCTGCGACTGGAGATGACTTCATATTTTGGTGTACATGAAGGTGATGGGCGAGAGCCAGCTCCTGCTTATCGAGGAACATCTTGGGTATCTTCCGCCCTGGTACTCGTATCCACGTCTTCCGTCTGGGAAAACTTTACTGATGTATAGCCGTAAGTGTCTTTTTTGCCCCCCCCCCCTCTCTGTACAAATCTCGCTGAGTAGCATCCTGGTCCCCACCAAGCCAAACTGCGCCAGAAAACAAACATTACGTCATTCAAGGAAATCCTCACTGGAATT